TTCACAACATCCCATACTTACATGATGTCATTGATGGAGAGATGTTTTCGATACACGGCTGCAAAATGCTGTGAGGAGCAATTACGTTCCTGGATTTTCCCACTTTTGTTCCGGTGTTGAGTCTCTCAGGCGAAGAAAGACTCCAATGGCTCGGCCGAATGTTGGGGAAGATGGGAAGTAGTGCCCGTTTGGAAAGAATTCGACTTCGGTCAAGACAACGCTCATTCGAGCAGTTTTTATAGCCTTACATTGGGAATATCCCCTTGTTTATGTACTTTATTTCATGGAAGATATTTACGATGCAAGATTGAACGAAGCTGTCTGGTGGGTGTGAGAACGGGCTTGCCCTGATCGAAGTCGATCCCGTTTGGGAGGGCTTTGATGAAGTGGCTTCTAGTGCTCTATGAACTAAGAAACCTGAAACATTGTGATGATGTAGTTGTCAAAATTTTGAAAAGCTAAAATTATCCTTTACAAAAACCACAAAATCTCCTTTTCAAGGCATGAGGCGTAGATTGAGGCATAAAAAGGTATAAGCCTCAAGTATCAATGATTATTTAGTGATTTAACGCAATATATATATATATACCTTATGCATTTTTATATTCAAAATATATGGAAAAGGCATTTCAATAATTGTGGGCCAAATAAATAAAAAGAATAAAATGAAAAACCAGTAAGGAAAATCAAGTTCTATTAAATTCTCTTAGTGTTTTAGGAGAGTTCAATGCAAAAAAGGCTAATCAAATTAGTTTCTCACTATCTCTTGGATATACCAGGTGGGATTTTTTTTTTAATTATTCTAAGTATAGCATCTCAAGTTTGTTATTTTTTTTTCATTTCTTTTCCAAATGGATTTTTTATTGACTTTTTTTTTGCATAGATCAAATTAACTAAGTTGTTCTCTTTCTTCTAAACTATTGAATGACCATAAATTTAATATCCAATTATATGGATTATTCTTCATATTTTTCTTTTATTCTAAATTGTTTATTTGAATTATTTGAGAGTTTTGCATTTTGAAACATGAAATGTAAAATGTTTATAATTGTTATTGATTAGTTATTATTTTATTTAATGATTAAATGTCAAAAGTTATTACTAATAAACTTTTATTTTATGGATATTTATGTCTTCTATCATTCTAACTTTTGGTATATTATATGTTATTTTTATTGATTTATAAGCTTTAACTAATTTCATTCTTAAGCTTCGAAGCTTACGCCTTACAATGCCTAAAGGCTTATACTCACCTTTTTGGGCCATTAGGCCTCAATTACGCCTTTAGCCTTTTAAAACTTTGATTACTATGGCCCACTAAAAGATTTTTGTGTAATTTTATAGATGTGTATTTTTTGCAAGTTGGACATCATGAATCACCATTATGGCATTTTTAAAATAAGGTAGGATATGGACTAAAGCAGGCAATTAGGAAGATGATTCGTTCCCTTTCAGTATTTTCTCACTCTATGAATGTTATAAATAGTTTTTATGATCCCGTCAAGGATGAAGCCTATAACCTTACGGAATACTTTGACATTATATGAATAAAAAAAAAAATATTAGTAGGACCTTAATCTAAGAGCTCATGAATTAGCATATTACACTTGTAAATATAATCGTATAGTTTGTGAGCACATAGTCTCTGAAACTCCTATAATTATTCTGTGAATCATTAAAGTTTTCCCCAAGGGCTGGATCTGTTCAAAACAAAAAAATATTTCCAACATGATCTATGTTTACACATTATAGGCATGGTGGATTCAAGTTTCATGGTGAGATATGCGAACACAATAATTGTTGGAATGTTGTTGGGATAGCTTTTGTTGTGAATACATCCTACCTCAACAAATATTAAAATGCAGAAAGTGGAAACAGTATTTGCTACAAATAACATGCGTACCATAAGAGCAACACGTTAGTGGTCACTGATCACCCATCCAAAAATACAGACTTTGGTAATCTATACAATTATAAATGCATAGATTCCTTGCGTATCTACAGCTGAAGGATTGAGAAATTTTCGTCAACTTATTTTCTATCAGATCAAACAAGTTCCACTTTCAACCTATGCCGATGTAAAATGTGGAATCCATAATGGTAATTTCCTGTTTTGTTTAAGGTGATTGTGTTTGCCAAATAACTTGTGTTATTAGGAAATTACTTTTGCTAAATAGCCTATGCTATTGGGAAATTACTTTTATAAGTGGGAAAAAACTGTTAATATTTGTTTTAAAAAAGCCGTAAGTAATTGTTTGGGCGGGCTTTCACGTAGCTTCTTTCTTTGTGAGGTGCGCCCCATACAGAGAGCCCATAAGATCTGTTTGGTAAATTCAAACAGCCCATATATACTGTCGTTCAGACAAAAAAACTAGCTTTTGGATGAAGTTTCTTTTAATAGCTTCTTCAATGGAGCATTCGTGTATCTTGTTTCTGCTTGATCAAATGCAGTTTTTTTGCTACTTGTCCATGTTGCGGAAAACCCAAGAAAAACAGATTTGAATGACATTTAAAATGAAAAGATAAACATAGATAAAGACAAACAAGCAAAGAAAACACACAGATTTACGTGGTTCGATTTATAGCCTATGTCTAATGGCGAAGAACAAGCAGAAATACACTATGTAATCAGCAATGAGAAGAAATGTAGAATTGTGCACTCACAACCCCTCTCACAGAAAACCCTAAACCTCAAATACACCCAAATGTCTCACTCTTCTCTCACAAGACAAAGACTAAATATACAAGAGACCCCGCCCCCTAAAATACATAACTCTTCTAATTTGGTTCGGACCTATGCTGAATATGAATCAGGTTCCACCACAAACCACTATGAAACGGGTTGCCACAAAGAATTCAAGAGACAAACATAACAATTCAAAATGTTGTTTACATCACTTTTTGTGACTTCTAAAAAGCAATAAAATCAATTTTCCCCGCTAAGACTCCTTTGTAAACGCATCCTAATAAAAGAGTATGAAGCAAAACCCAGAAGATTGAAGGGAAAGTATGGATGATCTCTTTGGGTAATCAAGACCAACAAGGGGATTGGAGGAACCTCTCAAGATAGCACAAGACTGATCAGAACGAGACAGATCCAAGGACAATGCGAGAGCAGATATTTTGTCTCTCATTGAACTAAGCATATCAGTTTCTATGGGCTGTCAGCCACAAGGGGATTTACTTGCATTCAGGATGACTTCCGCATAGTTACAATAGCGTCAATTGGACGTTAATTCATATTTCATAAGGCTATAGAGGGCAAAATCTTTGATCTCAAGGGTGAACCCCTCATTCCATTGGGTTTTCTGTATCTGCCAACTCTATAACAGACAGTATAGTAAGGACAGAAGGAATTGGGATCTTCTCTGTCCCCCCTGTCGCTCTCAGTGTCCTCATTTTTATTACTGAGCTTCCCATTATCAAGTTGATTATGTTTATATATTTCTTACATGTACTCCTTTTTTGTGCAGGGGTGCCGCTTGTGGATCTGTGGTAGCTCCTGCTTTTCTTTATCTTTTCTTTTTTTCAGGGGGAATCTGGACTTGTTTTTTCCTGCACTTGTACTTTTACTAAAATGCCTTTTATTTTGCTGCTGATGAAAAAAGTTAGTAAATTCACTGTTTTTTTTCCTGCTCTGGAATTTCTAATAAAACAGATAACTTATTTTTAGTATTGGATATACCATCTATACAGGCCCAAGAAAAGAAGTATGAAACTAAGAGTTGATTGCCAAGCCCTGAGAAGATTGATCCATAGAGAAGAAGGCAAACAATTAGTTGTTTTAGAAGATCATAGTTTGGGTACAAGCTTGCACTGTTGCACAGCCTCATCAGGTGCCATGTAGAAATATTTCCTGTATGTTGCTAATTTGGTTATGCAAATTTCAGTCAATTATGAGTTTTTCTCCTTGCCACTGCAAAATCTATATGCTACATATGAATAGCAAGCAATAATGCACAAGGAATCACATTAAAGAACTCGCAAAGCAGGAAAAAGCAAAGGCTGATTTGTAGATCATATTGGAGAGTTTTGGGATTTGACATTGAAGAAAGAAGTACTCCATATGTAGGCTATCTATATCTTATGCAGATAAAGGAATGTTCATTGAATTTATCGGTTCTGCATTATTGGGATCTATATTCGGTTGTCCTTAGCAGACTGCAAGTCTGTAACAAGGGCTGCACCCCAACCATCCCCAATAACTGACTGAGGACATTCTAACAGAGGATGGTGCATATGCACACCAATAACATGGGTTGGCACTAAACTACTCTTTCCCCAGGTCCCAACAAATAACATCTCGAAAGTTACAAAGCATAGACCCCAAAGATGGGGGATTAGACCCCAATACAGCTCCTACAATTTGCATCATCCCTAGCCAAAATGCTTGCCATGGTATTGGTCCATCTTTGGATCCATCTGAAAGTAACAATAATGCTTTTGGCCAGAGATCTAGCTTCCCTTGTGGCATGCTGAAATGCCTCCTTGCATCCATCAATCCATCATACCACCACACTAGAGTCCCTTTTCTCCACAAGATTACCGAACCCAATGGAGCATCCCAGCCTCGACTCTTTACAGTAAACATTAAAACTCAGTCCTAACAGAACCCTCATGACTTATCAATCATGTTTTACTATCCGAATGCAACCTTGATTATTTATAAAAGCTCCACCAATCCTGATCCAAATCCTTAGTATTAAGTCAAACACTATCTTCTTGAGTCCATTATCTTGTGATTATGGTTGGAGAATTTGCCTTTTTAGAGCCCGGGTTAGCATACATAGGACTAAAGCAGAATTTTGTAGGGTTCATTCAACATCAATTTTTGTTCTTTTGGGCTCTCAAAGAAAAGGCAAATAATGACTTGAGAAGCACTACTGGATTTTTATAGAAATTGTTTTCATGCACATTAAGATATGCTTTGCCATATCCTGCCAGGCTTCCAATCAGTAGACAAAACTTCATTAAGAAAAACACATCAACCCTTTCATCAATTTAGTAAAACAGGCATGTATTATTACTATATTCTGTAGTGATGGTGAAATCCAATATATGTTGCAATCTAAATATTATACATCTGGCAAACATAACATTTGTATACTATCAAATAATGGTGAAATCCACCCTAGCAAGGAAGCTGCTTTATGCTCTGTACTGTAGAAGTCTAGCAAATAACAATGCCCTGTATACTCCCTCTAAATGGGAATCACTGTAGTCTCCTAGTGATAAGAATTACCATAGACTTGTCACCTAAATATATACTTTGTGAGTAACGACAAATGGTGTAAAGGGGTTGGAATTCACAACCGCACATGAAAACACCGTCATATCCTACGCTTGGCTCAACAAGAATCATAATCAGATTGAATCCGGTTGCTTGATGGCTTGCCAATCTGCAGACAGTCAATTTGGGGGACAGTGGGAGTACTCAACTCACCAAAGGTCTGCCAACAGAAGGGGTTATACATGTGATAACGTTCTTGAATTGGTTGTAGCTCTATGTTGGATAGAGTAACGTCTATGCATGGTAAGCTATCGCTGCATGCAAAGTGTACAGGTTTTACTGTGTATGTCCCTTTTATTTTCTCATAGGTGATGCCTGACAGTGCAACTGCTGATGATTGGTTCTTGCATGTGCTCTTGTCGCAGTAGAATTGATCAATTACAATGGGAAGTTGAACTTCAGAAACCTGAATGTTTGAGAAGAGTACTCCTTGTACAGAACCAGACCCACCCTGTGGAGGACAAAATTGAAATAAGGTCTAGCACTGACAACAACTTGGAAGTTGTAATAAGAAACTCAAAACTTCTTAGTCCCAAGTGGCTTAAAACTGTAACAGTTCTTGATCAGATTTTCAGAGTTGTTTTAAGTTCCCAAATGAGAGCATTCAGTACTTGGGTGAGTTCTGTTTGACGAAATTTAGTTATCCTATCAACTTAAACTGAGGATTTGGATTTGAATCTGTCAATTTCAAGTAGTTAATTATTAATAAGTTTAGTCCCAACACAGAAGAGTTGCTTAGATATAGGAGGCAATTAGTTGAGGAATTAAGGTGGGTTTMCCTGCCATGTCTTGATTCTGACACCGGTCATGGTGTTGTGCATCATGATATCTCGGACAGTAATGTTTGTCACACAGGCTTTTGTGTTGTCCCTTCCTAGCCCTCCAATGCTGATTCCATGTCCAGGCCCACAGTTCACATTATGTATGTATACATTTGAGCATCCAGTCTGTATGGATACACAGTCATCACCTGCACGAGTAACAGAGGCTTAAATAAGCAGAGATTTGGAAGAAGGAAAAAGAATGTATTGGTGCAGCCATCCATCGGATGTCCCCTGAGCTATCCAGTTACAGCAATGTCAAGGCTGGATAAAGTAGTGAATACAAAATTTACACTAAGAATCAAAGTGTCCTACACAATGTGGTACAGGTATCATAGGTTTCAGTTGATTCATTATTTTGTTTAAGGGTAAATTATATTTTTCTTTTGCTGCATTTTTTTAACCAGCAAAAGCTTCTAGTTCCAGACATAGCTACAGAAAAATTCACATGGATACTGAAGATATTGGCAGTGTCTCTGAGCACACATTTCAAGAGACTCAACTCACAGGTGAATCCTAGTTCTTTTCAATAATTCAATGGTTAGGTAGGGCGCCAGAGTTGTGCAACATTGTTACTGCTGTTTTATTTTCTTTTTCCTTGTGGTGCCAACTAGCCCAAAATGCCATTTGTCTCTCGCTAGGTTGTTGTTTTTTTTTTTTTTCCTGTTCATATTTTTTGGAAGAACCGAAGAAGGCAGAGGATCAAAAGGGTGGAGCCATAGAGGTACAAAGGTCCAGTTCTGGACAGCACAGGGAAAAAGAGGAGTATTACGTGGAATAAGAGCATTTCTGCTTGGTGGTCCCAGAACTCAATCTTTAATGGTGGATCCATGATTCAGGTATTATTGATCAAAAAATAATAATAATAATGGATCCATGATTCAGACTTCACATATGTCAAGAAAATAGTAGCCACAAAAAAGATTGGGCTGAGGATGTTATTGTGGAGGACAAATGTTTGCCATGTGTCATGATTCTAGTGGTCCTGACTTTGATGATGTGATTGTACAGAACACCAAGTGGGTAAGATTATGTGATCTCTGGGGTTTAGCGGGGCGGGGCACCAGTCCAAGAGACAAAATGCTTTTAGTTTTAGCTACTCCCAATTCATTAAAAGATAAGTTCTTAATTGAATTCTTCCAAGTCCCAACTTTGTTTCCTAAATCCTACATCCTAACTTTGGCCATGGTGGTGTGGTGTCAAGTATGAAATGGTCCAGGAAATTACCACAAGCGAGGTTGGTGCTGTGGATCAGCACATCTTTGGAGTTCTGCAGGTGGATTCCGTCGGTGTTGAGGCTGTCGCCGGGAGAGTTGGTGGTCATGTTGTAGACCTCGACTCCAACACAGTTATCAAATTTAAGATGACACTGGGGGCTGTTTTGAATTGTTATGCCTGTGACGGTCACATTATAACTGCCATAGAACCTTAGAGCCTGCTCACAGAAAGAACACATAAAATAAATCCATAACCCTCGCTAGCTACTTTCGTGAAAATTGGAAGAAGAAACATCGGTACAAAGTTTTAATACTTACTGTTGGTTTGATACTTGGCATTTTTCCTCCGAGTGTGCTGTTTATCTGCCATGATAATACATGGGTATCAATGAGACCCGCCTGTTACCTCTACGAAATCTGATGAGCTAAACAATAATTGTGCAGAGAGATGAAAAGGAGGAGAGGATTTGATTACCGGAATGCGGGAGTTGGCAGCTGTGGGTGGTTCGTCGGTAATTGGGATGATTAATCGTGTTTCACTGTCTATCGGTTCATCAAAGGGGGAATCCTGCCACCAGACTGAACCCCGGCCATCGATTATTCCTCCACCTTGGATCGTAATGCCCCGCAGTTTCGTGAACTCAAGCCATTGCAACAGTCCCGACCCCCAAGCACTGGAGATCGTGGGAGCGATTATTGTACCTTCCAACTGCAAGCCATCAGATTCCATTGTCAGCCTCAGCCTCAGCCTCTCCACTCTGTCCTCCTCGAAGCCACCGACTCAGCTAAGTGGACGGACATGGGTTATTGGGTTAATAGTTAAAAAACAAAAACACTACTCTCAATGACGAGTGGAGTGGATCCAAGTGTACGATTTTCTAGCACTATTCCATGCGTGATCGTGATCACACCATTTGTACTGTTGGCATGGCAGTGTGAGTGTGATGGAAGTGGGCCGGACATCTCACCAGTGACCACCTACAAAGGTAGGTCCAGCTTTTTTCTTCATTGCCATATAAGTGAGCGACCACCCAGACCTAGCCCCACTTCTATCACAGTTTGATATTGAACTCGACAGACGACAGCCCAAGCCCACAACTTCTTATTATTTTTTCTCTAAACTAAATCTAGATTAAAGAAGATTAATTATGAGATAATTCAAACGTTTCTATCTTATCAATAATTCCGTTAAATTTACCTGAAATACAATGTTGGATTCACAATAAGGCCCAGAGAAAGAAATGGGCCCGACGAGGAACACGTAATCCGCAGGCACCACCACTGTTGATGCCTCCACCTTACAAGCAGCTGCCCATGCGGCTTGGAATGCCTGCGTTGCACCGAAGCAAAACAACTTAAAAGATTGACAAACAACAACAACAATACCAACAAATACAAAGTGGTAAATAATAATATGTGGTGGTCCGTACGTATGAAATCGTATAAAATTATTGTTGGAATCTTGACCAAACAAATAGCCTTAATCGGAATAAAATTTTCGGTGGTCCCGCCCGATGGGATGGCCGTTGTCCTTTCTCTCTAGGAAGATCTCTTGTCTCTTATTTAGTGGTATTATTATCATTTCCGGCAATTGTATACGCCCTAGACAGTAGACCCTCGTCTATTTTGTAAAAAGTGACGGCAACCGTCACGACAATTACCTTTACCTGTTTTTTTTATATTTCACTTCCACTTCCTGTGACCAATAGCGACCTATTTGACCAAAATGCCCTCTAACTACCGAAAATACCTAAACCCCGCCAAAATTGAAGAAGACATTAAACATCGTTACTTTGACCAAATTACCCCTTCAGTTTTTAATGACTGATCCGATGATTTTAGACCACGACATTCTACCATACCCACAGAGCATTATGCGTCTGCGAGACTGCAACTGTGAAAGACGTTACGATGAGCATCGGCTCTTTGCTCCGTTCTTCTCAAGCTAGCTTCCATTAAATAACACGCCTTCAAAAACCCCTGTAGAACTGTAGAAGAATGTAACTGATCATCGAAATCTCCGTTTATGCGTCTAAACCAACAATTAGAACCCGCCTAACCCTTTATCGTTCTTCATTCAAAGTTCATCATACTCGTTAACCATAAATAACATCCAGCGGGTCGATGAAGACAATACTCAAGAGAGAAATAGAAGCATCACCTTCGTGTCGTAGGTCTCTCCGTCGCCCTTTGCGCCGAAATCCAACACATCAAACACCGCCGGCTGACTATCATTGTTTCCACTATTCCCCGGTGGTGGAATCGGAGCTTCCGCTCTCGGTCCTGGGAATACTGTTCCCGGCGACGGCGAAGGAGCTGGAGATTTTGGCTTCGACCCATTTCCACCTCCGCTGCTGCCGTGGTGGTGGCTACTACCGCTACCATGACTCTTTCCTTTCTTCTTAGACAGAGAGGCCGAGATGCCAGCTCTGCTCTGCCTCCAGTGCTTCCCTCTTCTGGCATTGCAAACTTCAAATGCAGAACACCAAACGAGAAAAGCTATGAGAAGGATCAAAGAGAGGCTTCGTAGACTGAACCCACTCATCTTTTTTTTTTTTTTTTCTTTCTGCTATGTGTTCTGTGGTGTGCTTGTCTCTCTCTGTCTGTCTTTGCAACACAGACAGAGATAGAGAGGATGAGAGGAGGGGAAATCAGGGGAAGGTAGAGAAGGAGAGGGAATGGCGCTTAAGATAGATAGCCAACAAAGAAGATGGTCGGGTTTAAATAGAGAGGGAAGGAGTGAGAACTTATGACCCAGACAGACCCACAATGCACACATAAGCAAGACAGTTTGATCAGGCAAACTATTTAATGTTTCATTCTTTTCTGTTTATCCCTTTTTTTTTCAAGTATTGATTATTACATTCTCTTTTCCTTCTTTTTTTTTTTGTGACAATTGGTTGGGATTAATTTATTTATCGCGCATAAGGGACCCATTAATGCCATTTGTCTTTTGTACATTGCACGTGACACGTCCAGTTGTTCATGCAAAAGGACGTTGTAATCAGTAATCAGTAAACTTGCTCTGAATCTGATACGAGTGGGGGCATCATTCAATCAGCCTTCTTCATTTGAAGCTACAGATGATCCATTAATTGAATCCCAATATAATTCACATATAAAAAAAGCCAATTTATTTATTTATTTATTTTTTGTATCCAGGGAAAAATGAAATTCATTTACTATTTGAGCTAACTCGACTAAGCTACGTACCAATAATTGTCTGGTTGCATTATCAGCGTCTCAGTCCATGCTTTGCTTGCCAATACGCCTAGTACCAATCAATCCATCTTGTATTTCTGTTCTTTTTCTGGTATTCCGAGAATTAATGTATGAATACATACAAAAAATAAAAGCAGTCCAGTTGTAATGTAAATTCTATATAACGAATATCGAATCAAAACCATTTTAATTAAGCATACGTATCATTAGGTGAGCTAATCATATAGGACCATGGATGAGATAATATATATTCCTAACTAACAAGTAACAACTGAAGCTATAAAAAAATTGCTGTAACGAAAGAGTTCTATAAGTATCTATTTTAATTAATATATGATTTGTTTGTTGGTGCTTAACTGCCTTTTGGACCTCTACACTTCTTTGCTGTATTTTTTCTTTCTGGGTTTATATTTCCTAGCTTGTTAATTTTTGTGGTGGAAACAGGAATGGATGGTGGGGCGCGTGGCGTTGTAGCGTTTGATGTAAGAGGCAGGGGATCACACGTGAGTGGTCTATATATAGCTTGTCAAGGGCAGTGATGGTAACAGCTCTTCAAGGTCACATGCAACGTTCACGGGTGTGAGTTTTTCTGTTTTTGTACTTTGTCTTCTTAAGCACCACCACCAAATGCCAGAAACCCAAAATTCCAAAAGCCGGGTTTTAAAGATTTTCAGCTTTTCACCCCCACCCCTTTCTCCTTTTTATTCAAATCACTACATCGAATTTCATGGTCACCCAAAAGGCCAAATTAACAAAATAAAAATAAAAATAAAGAAAGAAAAGATCATCCTCTAGAAGTTAACACCTGATCAACTGAATATTATACCAAGTCAGTTTTCAGGGAGTTGTAAATTGTAGAAATCAATAATTTAAACTTCCTATACTGGCATTAATTTACAGAAAAGGCTAAAATAGGAAGGCCAAGAGTCGAAGCAATACTAATCCATGGAGTAAAAGAAAAAGAAAAAGATGAAGGTGACATTTTTTTTTTCGACCACACACAAGCTTTAGTTCTTCAGACTTCAGGGATTGAACAAAGACGAGATATCTCATATCTGTAAAAAAAGATAAGAACTTTTTAGAACTTCAATATGGAAGAATGAAACAAGATACACGAATGCTTCATGTACTTTAAACATCGTCTAAATCATCTCCCATCGCCATCATATCTCAATTTCATAAGCCGTTCGATCGATAATTGATGGAATGTCTTAAGACTTTTAGACTTTATTATTGCTTCCAATCTTTCAATGGTTTTAAAACCATTATACATTGACCCGAGCGGTCAACCGGCTGACCCCGGAATTGATCACTTACCTGGTTCTGTTTGTCCAAAAAGTTGTTGAATTGAAACAGGGGTTTGAATGGTTGAACCATTAAATAGTTCGGCCTGAACAATGGTTTTGGGTCATTCTTTTAATTTTTTATTTTTATTTTTTTTTTAATTTTAAAATATCATTATCTGACCATTTGGTCAAACCGTTCAACTCAAAAAAAAAAAGGAAAAAAACTAGTGGCCAAAACAATTCCACGTAGGGTTTTAATCTTGCATGGACTCCATCTGACAATTGATGCCGTCTGGTGAAGATATGAAACATTGAAACCTATCTTTTGGAAAATGGTTATAAGGAAATGTCGCTCCAGATATGCATATTTGTTTGAAATTGTTTTTCCAAAAAAAATGGTGCTTTAAGTCACGTCTTAGAAATAGGAAAGGCATTATTTGGAACAATATCGAATTTGACATTTCCTAAAATTGTAACTCGTTAGGGACATGACGTGGAAGTGAATAATAAGTACAAGTGGTGAAAATGTTTATTAGAGCATTGATACCAAACAGAAAATGTTGTTATTCCTCCAGAAAACTTCCTACCTGACAGCAATGTTTCTAAAAAAAAAAACATCATTTTTATAGAAAAACGGTACTTCCAACACACACATCTCATGCCAAACATGAGAAAATGGTATTATATCTATAGCATCAATGCCAAACATATATTTGTTTGCTTTATGGATAACAAATACATGGCCTCAAAATTCAAAGATCATATACCATTATCTTCATGTTGCATCCAAAAAGGGGGCCAAAAGTGTATAATCCATTAATCAGTATCCTGTTAATTATGTGTAATGCTGAGAAATGATATATTCTCATTTGTAGCAATAAATGTGTTTAATCATGATTTAGTTTGTTTGCGCTGCAAATCTGAATTGGATATCTGCTTACGTTTTGCATCTGTATGTTCATAATCACTATAATTTGGATTCTTATTTTGTATCTTAAAAAGTGATGCTAAGGCTGTGTTTGGTCGCAATACAATAAATTTGCATTGATACAAAATTATAGCAATGCAAATGATTTGAGTGTAAATTTTAGTTTATTTTCGTTTCAAATTTTAGATGGTTTTGTTTGATTGCAGTACAAATAAAATAAATTAAGACATGAAACAGAATAAAGTAAAACCGAAAATAAAATTAAACAAAAATTTGCATTTTTCCTTTTACAATCCTACACATTTATACCATTACAAAAAAAATTGCAGTGCAACCAAACGCAACCTAAATCTCTATCACATTTCTCCTTCTTTAATTTTCTTTCATATAAAAGGAATCACATTATTTTACTTCCTACAAACAAATAAATAAGACAAAGTCAAATCAGAAACAAAATTAATTAAACCCGAATTTATACTCAAACCTATCTGCATAAATACAAAAGAAAAAGAAATTGCAGAAGCGGAAATATAATCACATTAAAAAATGAGTCAACCATACCCTTTCCAACGCATGCCTGACAAATAATATATAGAAAATTTCCGATTAGTACTCTTTACTATGGGTCTTGTATCAATTTGTTCCCTAACTTCATGACAATTCAGTATCGAACTTTCAAAACTCCACAATCCGATACCTGCCGTTAATAGACCGTCAACTATGATGGTAAAAAGACATAATTACCCCTCACGTTTTTGAAAACCGAATGGATGACTTTTTGAAATGACGAAAATGCCTTCTGCCCCCGTTGGTGCTGATAAGTGGAATATGACATCGGAAAAGCTGATACCGGTCGGAAATTATATCGGAGCCTTGCACAAGCTGAAATCAGCGAAGTAGTATGCAGGCATTAAACCTTCCTCTTCTTCTTTCGTCTTCTTCTCTCGTCCCCTCTCCATCGTTTTTCTCTCCAATCGCTTCTCCTCCCTTCAGAAGCGCCGTCCACCTGAGCTTTTTGATTCTTCTCTGCAAATAAATCAATAGAAGCTGTAGGCCGAGCCTCGTAAAGTTCAAGTAATAGCTGGAGCAGGACTCTCACCAGATGGTAATATATCATGATTCAGTTCTTCCTCCTTTTGAGCTTCTCTGAGCGATAGTACAAGTTTGAGTGTCCGCAATAGTACAAGTTTGAACTCCAAGAGCGATTTCCGGGAAGGCCCTGCTCTACCTATTCTCAACCAAATGATCGAAGATGTAAGTAACTAATCCTTTCTTCCTTATTAACCCTCCGCCATCCATCTCTGAGTCTTTCTTCCTTTAATTGTTAGATCAACAACAAATAGTGATTTTTTTTTTTTTTTATATTTGGGCTTTGTGAATATGAAGGGAAAGTATAATTGGGACGTTTGATTTCAAATTTGTGGACACAGACAAGGACAACTATTCAACTACCACAAGAGGCTGGTGAAGGTTGGGGGGTGTAATTGGGTACGACTGTACGACAACACCCTCTAAGAATGGGTCGGTGGTGGCTCCGCCAGTCCGCTGGACGCACCCGTCCGCAAGAATGTTGGGTATCACAGGATCGAGATCTGCCAGCTCCCTGTCGGCGACAGTATCACCCTCTACCGCTGCATCAGCTCATCTCAAGTCTCAACCTGAACCCCACTTCATTATTCATCAGAATAGAAAGGGTCGACCATAATAAAGAGCAATGGAGTTCTTTTTTCCTTATCTTTGTTCTTCTTTTCTTTTTTATTTCAGAGGGTATGTTTTTACTTAAAACATTTTATGAACTTTTTTGTGAAATCTTATACTTTTATATATATATATATAAAAGTAATTTTAAAAAATAATTATTTAATTATTTTAAAAAAAATTCCCTTCAATAAAAGTAATTTTAAAAAAATTTAATTATTTAATTCGCATATAAGATCACGTGATGGCACTGGCTGGGGGTCTATTAACAAAAATACTAGATTGTTACATTTTAAAATTGAAAATTAAATTATAACTAAAGACAAAATACAAGATATTAATCGAAAATTTTCCCTTAATATTTCACCTTCACCCTTTGACAAGAAATACTTACACGTCATCCATCCGCTTGCTTCGATTTGCGACCTTTCCCGAAAACCGTTACAGACCAAAAATGAAACAGAGAAACATAAGGCTTTTGTGCCACGGTTTCCGGCGCTGACCGGACAAATGGCTACTTATTTTATTAACCTTCACACCAACATATTTACTTAATAATATGCTTGGAGGGAGCTTCTTAGCTGTAGTTTAAGTAGATTCTTTTTAAACTGTAAATTACAGGTGCCAACCACAAGACTTCGGTGCATTGCATACTATGCACCACAGAATGCAGAGGTCCCTTCTTCTACACCTTAGTAGGTAGAATACCACAAATATTTATCAAATATCATTTAATCCACATATTTTTCTTTTACCTTTCTAAGTTTATAATTAATTTATTATTTCACATAAACCTGAACTTGGTTGCTCAATTGAATTCTATTGTGCGACCAGTGACCACCAACCACCATGAACATGATATAGACTTTTGGGAAGTTGGCCTTGACTACGACCTTCGTAGCCGTCCTTATGTGCTCACATGCACATGCTCGTGAACTTTGGGCCCCTCCCGTACTAAATGCAATAAAATGATTAGTTTTCCTTTTCTGTTCCCGCATCAACACTAAGATAATTCTATAACTATTCCTTCATATATATTAAAACAGATGTGCTACCTTCTATTCCATTACCAGGAATAGAAACAGTGTTCCCGCATCAACACTAAGATAATTCTATAACTATTTCACCAAAGGGATTTTATTTTTTTTATAAAGAACAAAATGTATCATTGTTCTTACTTGCTTAATGTTCAAGGGATCTCATTTCTGCGCTGCGGTTGCTGGTGGACCTGGTTGTGGTGGCGCTGGACATGTGATATTTCAGTTTGAAGTTTTTTTTTTTTTTTCCCGTTTTTTGGGCTAAGCAGTTGGAAGCTTTAAAAGTCCATGGGTGTAGTGATACTTAAATTGCGGATGGCAAGGGCTGTCATAAATTTGTCCTTATATTCCTGACGAATTAATGGGCCTAAAAGCCCTACCACTCACGGACCGACAAGTTTGTCCAAGTTTTTGAAATTATATTCTAGATTTTCTCTGTTACGTCCTCATGCTACGGTTGTGGTGGTCTGAACCTGCAGCCTGCAGGTCTGGTTTATTTATTGTTCTCAATCGATCCGGGTAGACTTCAAAAATCAAAAGCCCGGCCGGCAATTAATTGACCTGCTAGAAGCTTGTACTGGTTTAATCGGAATCATTTTTCGGAATTTGTTCTCTCATTAACTGAACCGGTGGATTTAAAGTTAAACCGACACAGACAAACAAAAGAAAAAATTTGGGATGGATTGGTACGTGTTTGGTCACGTGAAAAATTGCTACCCGTTGGTAGAACGAATGAAGGGTAAGGTCCTATAGCACATTCCAACCGTTTACTGCGTCTCAATGACAAGTACGGAACATGTTGTTAATACAGGCTGAAATGTGCATATAGGGTGATTTTAAAGCGCATTTTGTGAGGACAGATGTATACTCTCGTAGGTGAAGCTTGAAATTAGGAATGCAAACGGATTTGATCTAATTTGAATCAAGTATATTCAAATCCGATTCACAATTTTCATGTCAGATCCAATTGATTCAATTTGAATTTGAATCCTATCAGTAAGTTGGACCTTCGGATCTATCTGATCCGATTTTTTTCTTTAAAAATTAATAAATTGTTAAAAAATAAAATATACTAATTTAAATACAATAAAAACAAAAAAAAATGCAAGTATTATTTAATTATTTTCATTATATATATGTTTTATAAAAAGTAAATAACATAACAAATTTATAATATATATATATATATATAAATAAATAAATAATATATATGTATTATATATATTTATATTTATAAATATATAATATATTGAAATCAAATCTTCTCGAATCTAATAGAGATAATCTAAATCCGATTTCTAATCGAATCCTATTTTCTGATTTAATCCGAATTCGACCAAATAAGATCGGATCTCAATCGGATCAGATCATCCGATCCATTTGCACCCTTACCTGAAATGCAAGCTCGATGGGTTGATTATTTATTTATTTTAATCTAACGATTGGCTGATTATTCATTTATTTTAATCTAACGACTAGCTGGTTTTTGCAAAGAGAGGGAAACAGTACACGTGGTCACACTAAGCCACACGTGGCAAGGGCAAATAAGCCCATGCATCCCTGCAAAGTGCAAATGGGTGATACATGATGATACTTACAAGATTCTAGGGTCGTACGTGCGGACAGCGTACGTATAGATGTAGATGAAGTTAATATCAATATTTAGTGTAAATGCAACATCAGCATCAAGTCGGCAAGTTGTAATCCGATGGAAATTTATTAATTAACAATAAGACAGAGAATTAGTGTATGTATAAAAATGCCAATGCCAGACTTGCCAGTTTTGCAAAATAACATATGTAAGTGTGAAATCGTCTCTCCGTGCCTCCATGGGAAGCTGAAGCTGTGGATCCGTCCCATCTGGAAGCTTTTGTCTTTTTCTCTTCTTCTACGCCAATCCCATCTCCCACGACCACACCATGATCCCATCTAGGATTATGGCGACAATCCGCTCTCTGCTTCAACTTCCCGGTTCCCATCAGATCCTACTATAGAGCCCACGCATCTGATTGATGGATTTAATATGGATTTTTCTTGAAATAATTGTAAATCAAAAGAAGAGATTAAGATGGTTTAAAAAAAAAAAAAAACAGATGACGACGTAGAGACAAACATAGGAATCCAATTAAAGGGACACCTTGTTGTTTAATTTTTTACATTCTTCCAAGTTAAAATTCCACTCAAATCAATCAACATGAATTAAAATTAAAAGTAATGTCCCTTTCTCCAAGGATTTCACGTGAGAGTAAACCCAAGTATCCATCTTCTCTTCACCCCTAGTCTAGTGTTTCATTTCTTCAAGGAAGGCCTAAAGTAAGAAAAAATATTCAACGTTTACACAGGAAAGTGCTTTGGCAATTGTAATGCCGAACGTGACACTCTGTGTTGCTCTGCTCTGGTTATCAGAGCAATTTCTTGAACCGAAAGAAAAAATAAAAAATCCAACTTGCTTGCTATGGATGTCAATCCTTGCAACAGATTAAGGTAGGATAATTAATTAAGTGATTACCTTATTCTTAATTTCACTGCTCCTGTGCTATTTTCAAATTAAAAAACTAAAACAATAATGAACTAAGGAGGCAAATCTAAAATATGTCTCTCTCAACTCCACGAAGCTAATAGTACTGTTTTGTGTGATTAATGTGAACCATGTAAATTGAATCTATAACTGGTCACATGTGACAATGTAGCCTTTGCTTTGAATCCTCAAAATTAGACGTCAAACTGTTTTAATTTTTAATCTTAATATTTTTAATACTACGACCATAACCCTTTCAATGACAAATCTTTGGCTATTTTCATTTTCTGCACATGATACATTACCTCCTCATTCAGTTCCTTTTGCTTGACTTTTCTCTAAAAACTGTCGGTTGCAACTACCCCATGGCCAGAGGAACGTAATTCTCACTCTGAATAACCCCTTTCGATCTAATCAAACCCAACCCTAAATCCCCACTGTTCAAGTGAGGGGAGGATTAGATCTTTTCCTTGGCCTGATCAAGCGATGCAAAAGGATCGGATTGGATTCAAATTGAGGTATATTTGAGTCCAATTTGATGGTATAAATATAGTAGGTCCAATCCAATTTAAAGATCTGATTGGATCCCACAATATTGATAATCCAAATCCGAATTCAAATCTGTTAAAGGATCGATGTTGAATATCTAAACATGATTCGGTCTGATTTAATTTTTCAAATTTTTTTAAAAAAAAAAAAGATATAACAATTTATATAAAAACAAAAATAATATGAAAATTTATTGGATGCATCCCTAAATTTTTAATCACCTTTATTTATTTTTGCTCTATGGAACTACGCAACAAGGTAGCCCATCTCCAAGACCCATAAGTCAAATAACCCGCAAAACCTGTTGCAGGTAGGAGTACTCGATCTCAAGTATCCACCACAACCAGGTAAAATACCTTACGAACCAGCCATTTGGCACCTTGGGCAAATTTACCTGCCACCCGCTTTTCCCATACATTTGACCTTGTCAACAATATTGGGTTTTGTTGTCCAATATATGAGGGCTGAATATGAATATATTGAAGTCTCCACAGGTACCGAGTTACCGACCGTGCATGGTAATTAATTATCAACTAGTGAACCAAGTATAAGAAAGTCCGTCCCAAGTGTTGTAGTTGTACAAATTAAAGCCGCGCCAAATCTACATTTTCTTGCTTTCTAACACATGCAACACGCGGCTGGCTATCCCATTAGCTTGAAAGAAACCAAACGCATGCACGGAAACTGTCGGTTATCAGTGTAAGATGGTTGAAATGTTTCAGAAAGGCCAAGGACCAAAGGTTATAATCCACCAAGTAGCAACAATTTAACCTCTTGGCTCTAGCTCAGTACTGCAGTATCCACTATCCACCGCTAACTTGTCTCTTATCTTCTCCCTTGTCACTTGTGAATAAGCTTAGAGTGGACGAGGAGGATCCACTCCATCCAATAAGTGGGAATGCGACTCTGCACTCTCGTTCGTTCTCAATATGAGAC